TCATTAAAGGTTAAATGAAAAGATTTCATTATAACATGTCTCTCATTCACTTATGAATTTGATCATAGTCTTGTACTACTTGTGTGTGCACATTTTCTTTTCTTTTCTCCTTAACCTCACAGGTAGTTGTCATCATTCCAAAACAGATTGCTTTAATCTATTTTAAGTTTCACAAGTACCACAAAATCTGTAGCAGACAAATAAACCTCATAATCCAAAAGTCCAAAAGTAAGTATTATTGAATTCAATAAACAATGAAGTCTCTAAGAAAGAGGAAGCATAGAAGAAGATTCAGTAAACCTGGAGAAGAAGTTACATAGTGGAAACAGTGTGACATGATCTGTCAATTACTGGAAATGGAAATTCAGTAAATTCTACCAGGAAGAGTGAGAATGTCTGAATGAATAAAACCTCCAGTCTAAACAAAAGGTTGATTCCAAGAAGTTCCATTCACTTTCAATGAATGGCCTTCTGTGAGAGTAAGAAAATAATGTAAGCCAGACCAAGAGTAACAGAAGTTTCACGGTTTCTCTGAGTGTAGTAGCTAGAATGTACTTATAGATCTACAAGTAAATGAAAAATGGTAAAAAAAAAAAAAAAGAAAAAGAAAAAGAAAACAACGAAAACCTTGCATGTCATAAATTATACAGGTTTCTAGGCATTCCCCACAGTGAGAACAAGGGGAATGTACTCAGGAGAGAAACACAAAGATGTAATACCTATGTGCATGTGATCATAAAAAATAATATTTTTCAAAAAAGAACTCCAGGAAATGGGAACAAAAGAGATTTTTTTCTTTATCAATGTTTTTGTGGGCATGGAATCACAGAAATGGTGGAACAAAGAATGAACAAATACAGCAGTGCTACTCACTAGACACTATGTTGAAAATAAGCTATAGAACTGGAGGGTGAGGATGGGAGAGAAACATAGCGAGAGAAAGGGTGACATTGTTTGAAAAGAAATGTTCTCTTCATTTTACTTATATTACTGTAACCTCTCTTTACATCATCTTTATAATAGCAATAAACAATACATCAAAGAGAAAAAGGAGTGGAAGAAGGTAGTCCATGCAAATGAAAAGGAAAATTAGGCAGAATTATCCTTATCATATCACATCAAACAGATTTTAATCAAAACAACCAAATGTGCCAAGTTTGTAATGCGATGATGAACCAATCAGATCAACCAGATAACATAATAATTGTAAAAGAATACTAACTCCTGATCAAAGCACTTATCTCTATATAAGCAGACTTTGAGCTAATATTCCATACAATAATAGCTGAAGATTTCCTAGAGAGACATTTAGAGCAAGTAAGTGGGGAGGTATCAAAATTAAATTTCCCCCTTGATTAGATGAGCCTCACATCCACCTACAGAACGTTTCATGCAATATCTGAATAATCCATCTCTCATCAACATATTGAGCATTCTACAGAAGAGATGGGATACAACACAAAACAGCCAGATTTTAAAAGTATGAAAAGTAAATTGATCTCCTCTACAAAACACACTGTGGTAAGGCTAGAAATGAACAAGTAAAACACTGAAAGAAAATATGCCCATAACATCTAAATGAAATGCCTTGTTTCTCAATCAGAAACAATTTAATTTAATTAAGACCATTCAATGTAATTAAATGGTTAATACATATTAAATGATTAGTTTTTCAAAGCATATTTCAAGAAGTTTGCTGAACTTTGGAACAATATCAGAATCTATCTATCAATCAATCTATCTATCTATCTATCTATCTTGCTCTCTCTCTATGTATATATATATATATATATATATATATATATATATATATATATATATATATATATATATATATATATATATATATAATATATATATACATAGAGAGATCGAGAAAGAGCAAGAGAGAGAGCAATGAAATGTAATTGTAACAACCTTTATTGCAATCAGGAATAGAGAAGCTATATTGGAGAACCTATGTGGCATCTCAAGGAGCTAGAAAAATAAAGCCAAAATTAGTAGAAGGAATGAAATAATGAAAATGAAAAGGAACTAGAGACTAAAAAAATAAATAAGAGACTAGAAACAATCAATAAAGCCAAAAGGAGATACTGCAAGAACAACAGGGTGATAAAACTGAAGTAAAGGAACAAAATTCCATATATCAACCTACACTTCCAATTGTTCTGGATGCTAGAAGCAGTATAGTGAAAATACCTGTACTAGTGCAAAATCATATACAGAAGGTTCAGTACAATCTATATCAAAATTGCTGAGGAAGAACAAATGTAACAGCGATGTACCCAGACAATGTTAGAATTGACCTGTATAGCCTGGTGGGGGTTTGGGGGAAAGGGAAAAATAGGAGAAAATTGAGGAAAGGGTTAACAAAGATGACAATAAATGTACTCACTACATTATTTATGTAAATAAAACCTCCATGTATATCACCTTGAGAATAATATATAAATGGAAAAAGTATATATAATTATTCTGAGAGTAGTCATAGTAAATGAAAATTATATTATTTCCTTCACAGAAATAAAAAAAGGCAAAACAAAATCTTATGAAAAGGAACCCTCAGTTAGCCCAGGTTATCTTAATACAAAAAACAACCCGAAAAAAATCCAATCAAGGAACAGAAATTTGTGATGAAATGTACTCATTACCTTACTCATGTAACTGTAACCCCTCTGTACAATACCATTACAATAAAAATATATATTAAAATGTAAAAAAAAATTACAAATAAAAATCATAACAGATAAAGGATATTCAATCATTTGGGCAAACTGGGCACCCATTAACTATTCATTAACCTAGAGAAAACTTGTACTTTTGGTAATGGCATATAAAAATTAAAGTTTGGAGATATTCAAGAAATTAAAAGTATCTCTACTGGTGTCTTATACCTGAAATCCTACCTAAAGAAGAAGCTGACAGCCGGGCGCTGGTGGCTCACGCCTGTAATCCTAGCTATTCAGGAGGCTGAGATATGAGGATCGCGGTTCAAAGCCAGCCCAGGCAGGAGAGACCGTGAGACTCCTATCTCCAATAAACCACCAGAAAACCAGAAGTGGCGCTGTAGCTCAAGTGGTAGAGCGCTCGCCTTGAGATGAAGAGCTGAGGGACAGCGCCCAGGCCCAGAGTTCAAGCCCCATGGCCGACAAAAAAAAAAAAAGAAACTGACAGCTAAACATCCTCAGTCAAAGCAAACTGTCTGAGAATAGTCCATGCCATATTTTATCTTCTATCAAGCAACAAAAAGCTACAAGTGGAGGTGGAATAGTGTAGTTTTGAGATAAAATTGCATGCAGGATTCAAAAGTAAGTCAATCACTTGTGGCTTATTCCTAGCTATCTCAGTAAAGTGAAACTGATTAGAAGAAATTAGAGATATGGGAGGGAAAAGTGATGTGTGACACTATATGGGAATTTTTATAAACAAGAGAGTGAATATAATCAAAGTATGTGATATGAAGTGTGGAACTACAACCTGGACCAGATTCTTGGCAAAAGCACCCTATTTTATCAAAATTGGCAAGTATCATCTAACCTCAGTGGGCATAGACATGAATCAAATCTCTCACCTACTGATGACTGATGTCTAACTGCAGTGCACTCATTGTCTACAAGAAAACCTTAGTGAATAAATTCTATCTGGAGTCTATAGCATACATAATATGTTATCAACCTAGACCAGACTTTATTTGTATCTAGGCTTAGCAAAGAAACATCCATCACCTAAAACTATATTACTCTACTTGTCTATATTAGCACCTTAACAGAAGTACTTAAATATATTCTGGAAAATTAAAAGAGTGAAACTCAGCAAAACATGGGGAAATAGTATGGAATATAAAGAATAAGCAAAGCCAGACAGTAGTGCTTCATACCTTTATTCTCAACTACTCATAAGGCTGAGACCTGAGGATCATGTTTTCAAGGCAGCCTGGGCAGGGATATCAGTGAGCCTCTTATCTCCATTTAACTATGAAAAGATGACAGAAGTGGAGCTGTGCCTCAAATGCTAGAGCACTAGCCTTCAACAAAAATGTTCAGGAACAGCCCACAGGTCCTGAGTTCCCAGTACCAGAATGAAAGTAAGAAAGATAAACACGTCAGTGACATATAAATGAATCAACGTATTATCTATAGCACAGAAGAGATAAATTCCTATCCTGAGATCTCTGCTCTCAATTGTGGGCAGCTGCCTCTGGCGATAGTTTTCATACCAGCAATTAAAAACCAGGGCCAATGATAAAGATAATTTTATATATTATATATATATATATATATATGTATTTATATATAAGAATCAGATAGTTTGAGAGAATTCCTTGAAGTTCTGTGCAATCATTTTTCTTTTCTTCTCTTTTTCTTTTAGTATAACACTTATTAGTGAAACTCTGAGTATAGATAAAAAAAACCTTCAAGAATATGCATGTGCAAATTGTGTCTATTCTTGAAGAATATTCCCAAGAACTAGTCTTGGGAACATAAAATTCTACCACAAGAAATCACATGAAATAATGCTGAGCTGTCTTGTAGCCCTGGGTGGTGGAGCATATCTGACATGAAACAATACCAAAATACATAGTTTGGAACAGTAACTGCTTGTGTAAACTAAGAATGTGTGACTGTATATAAGTGTGTGTGCACACTAGTATGTGTGTTTGTGCCTGTTCTAGGGCATGAAATCAGTGACTGGCCACTTCATTTTCAACAGTGACAGCTGAAATGGAGGAGATCCAGGTATTTCCAGAAAAGTAAAGAGCTTACAGATATGGAAAGGCGAAACTACATGTAAGGAAATGGAGCCCTCTCCTTCCAGCATACAGAAAATCAGTCTATAAGAGATGTAAGCAAAATAATGAAACTGAGCTGTTCCTGGAGCAATAAGGATGGAGGTCAGTATAGAGGAGACAGAGATCGTTGATGTGCACACCAAGAGTTCCTTCACCCATGGAACATGCTCAGAATAAAATAGTAATAGAGATAAAATCTGAAATTACTTACAATTTGTTCTCTTCTTGCCTAGATGCATGGCTGTTACTGTGATCTATTCCCAAAGTGTACAGGGGGATAATCCCAGTTACCATCACATCTCCATCCATGTGTGCTCGCTGCTTCATTGTAGAAAAGCAGGTAGTGTCAGCCAAGGACCTGATAGGGAGGGGAAGATGGAGAAAGAGAATTATTAAAGTGAAAGTGTACATTCCTGAAGCATCTGACAAGCAGAAATTCTGGCTGGAATTGAGGATTACAATTTCACAGATATTCTTATATCTTTGTATATGTGCATATGTGTCTTTATTGACAGAGATCCACACTATAGCTTACCTATAATTAAAGTCTATCTGAGTCTTCAGAAGTAATGTGTAAGACTATTCCCAGGGGCTATGCATTAGTAGCCCTGCACCGGGGCTATGCATTAGTAGCCCTGCACCAAGGAGAAAACAAAAGTTAGAAACATGTTTTCAGATTTGCCTTCTTCACTGCAGGCGCTGTGATTTCATCCAAAACACCTATAGTGAGACCCCAGAGATGGAGTTATCTTAGTTGTAATTTGTCCAAAGTCTATGTCAAGAAAGTATTTGCATGAAAGTTATTTGGGATGATGCAACTGGATTGCATGAGATGATGCCATATCATGTGAATGGTGAAATGGCAGAAAAAGTGTATGTCTCTGAGTTGTCAACTGAATTATGAGGGCATTATAGTTAAGAGAGTCAATTTACATGTACCAAATCCAGGCAAATAACCTCTCTTTTGATATCTCATAGTTTAAACACCATAAAATGCCAGCAGTATCCAGAGGAGAAGCCAGGGGCTAATCAAGCTCTCATATAAAAGCAGTTTTAAGTAATATAATTCATCATATCAACAAGAGCAAGGACTAGAACCACATGATACTATAAAAAGATGCAGAAAAAGCATCTGACAAACTACAACACCATTTTATGATGAAAGTTCTTGAAAAACTAGGAATCCATGGTACATTCCTCAATATAAAAAAGGCTGTATATTAAAAACCTACAGCCAACATTATACTGAATGGTGAAAAAATAAGTCATTTCCTCTAAACTCAGGAACAAGATAATGCTGTCCACTCTCTCCACTTCTCTTCAATTTATTATTAAAATGCCCAGGTACAGCAATGAGACAAGGTGTAAACTTAAAGAGGATCAAAATAGGGAAAGATGAAGTAAAACTCTACCTAAAGATGACATTATCTTGTATTTAAAGAATCCCACGGAGTCCACTCCCAAATTACTCAAGCTGATTCAAAACTTTGGCAAAGCAGCAGGGTATAAAATTAACCCTCGTTTAAATAGGGATACAGGTGGACTAATTGCAACAATGAGATGTATAAGTCGTTATGTCGAAAATGAACTTTACAACATTTGTTGAGGGGGGAGAGGAGGATTGGGTGGGGGCAGGAGCAGGATGGGCAGAAATGGGAAGGGGAAACAAAGGAGGAGGCTACAATGCTTGATAAGAAATGTACTTATTATCTTGCCCATGTAATTGTAACCCCTCTGTACAGTATTTTCACAATAAAAAAAATAATCCCACAGACTGCACTCCCAAATTCTTGAGCTGATTTGAAACTTTGGCAAAGTAGCAGGCTATAAAATTAACCCTCAAAAAACACTGGCTTTTCCCTATGCCAACAATGAGCAGAGTTCAGCTGAAATCAGGAAAGCAATTCCTTCTTCTTTTTTAATTGTGAAAAAATGTACAGAGGGGTTACAATTAGATGGGAAAGATAATGAGTGCATTTCTTATCAAGCATTGTAGCCTCCTCTTTTGTTTCCCCTTCCCATCCTCCCCCTGCCCCCCACCCAATCCTCCCTGCTCCCCGTCTCACCCCCCACTGCACCAAAGTTGTTAAGTTTGTTTTCGACATAACGACTTGTACATCTCATTGTTGCAATGGGTCCAACTATATCCCTATTTAAATAATTTGTTTTTTTCCCTTCCCCTTCACAAATTATACCAACATCAAGTACAGTGAAAGCAAGGTGGAGAAGGGACATATAAACAACAAAGAAATCATCTTATAAATATTGTAGAAATAATCTCAAGAAAAAAATTGAATCCTTATCTTGGGGTTCATTTTGCCTATCATCACCTTATCTGACCTTTTCTGCTTGTCTCAGACATATACTAGTTATTGAAAATAAGGGAAACCAATGGATCTATGCTTCTTTGGGCCTGGCTTACTTCACTTAATATACGTTTTTCCAAGTCTTTCCATTTCCTGACAAATGGAGTAATGTCATTCTTTCTGATGGAGGCATAGAATTCCATTGTGTATATATACCACATTTTCACGATCCATTTATCTGCTACATATTCCCTACATAACAGAAGCATACAAAATGCCTAACAAGGAAGATACCAGGAGAAACACTTCTAGACACATTTTAGTAAAATTGATAGATCTGAATAATAAGGAAACAATCTTACATGCAGCAAAAATGAAGAAGGAGCTATACTAAAAATGGGGAAAAATAGAATCACTGCAGAGCTCTCCACACAGAAACTGAGTGCAAGAAAGTACCATATGAGTCCTGAGAGCCAATAACTGCCAACCCAGACTGATATACCCGGCGAAGCTAGTATTCACATTAGATGTAGAACTGAAAATTTTTAATAGTAAACAAAAACTAAATGAATACAAAACATTAAGCCAGCATTACAAAAAATACTAAGAGGGGGAACACAACCTGAAGAAAGCAACCAGGAATGGGTATCTGCACCAGACAGGCATTAATAGAAGTCTAACTGAGCAAGCACAGGAGGAAAGGGAAGAAGAAAAATTTAGGAAAACAGGGAAGGACAGGGACCACGATGCATCTCTCTATAGTATCTCTTAATATTAACGGTTTTAATTCACCAATCAAAAGAAAAAGAACAGCAGATTGGATCAGAAAACATGACCCATCCATCTGTTACCTTCAGGAGACCCACCTCTCAGCCAAACATACAAATAAACTCAGAGTGAAGGGTTGGAAAAGGATCTACCAATCAAATGCACCCAGTAAGAGAGCAGGAGTAGCTATCATGATATCTGACAAAACAAACTTTTTATTAAAATCAATACAAAAAGAAAAGGAAGGACACTACATATTAATACAGGTAATAATCCAAGAGGAGGATATTGCCATTATCAACTTATATGCCCCAAACATTGGAGCACCCAAATATGTTAGGCAAATACTCTCAAACTTACAGAATAATATAGATCTCAATAATACTTGGAGACTTTAACACCCCACTCTCACCAAAGGACAAGTCTACCAACCTGAGGATTGGCAAAGAAGCTACCAAATTAAGTGAGGTCATCCTTCAAGTGGAACTAACTGACATCTACTGAGTATTTCACCCTAAAACAACAGAGTACACAATCTTCTCAGCAGCTCATGGAACATTCTCCAAAATAGACCATATCATAGTTCATCCAAGGAACTTAAGCAAATACAAGGGGATTGACATAATCCCCTGTATCCTATAAGACCACAGTGGAATCAAGCTAGTTTTCAATAACAAAGAATACTTCAGAAATTACTCAAATACATGCAAATTGAACAGCACACTTCTAAGCAACACCTGGGTAACAGAAGTAATTAAAGAAGAAATTTAAAAAGTTCCTACAATTCAATAAAAATGAAGACATGTCACAAGGAAACTTGTAGGACACAGCAAAAGCAGATCTGAGGGGCAAATTTATTGCCCTCAGTGCCCACATCAAGAAAATAGAGACAGACCTAGTAAATATTCTCATGTTTCAATTAAAACAGCTATAAAAACATGAAAAAATGGAACCTAAAATTACTAGATGGAGCCAGATAATCAAACTAAGAGCAGAAATTAGGGAAATAGAGAATCGGAACATCAAAGATAAAATTAACAAAACAAAAAGCTGGTTCTTTGAAACAATAAATAAAATTGATAGACCATTGGCAAGATTAATTAAGAAAAGAGGAGAGGAAACCCAAATTAACAAGATCAGGGATGCCACAGGAAAAATCACAAGTACTCAAGATGTCCAAACAATTATAAAGGACTATTTTCAAAAGTTATACTCTCTAAAAAAAGAAAACCTGGCAGAAATTGATGCATTTTTAGAGAAATACAAGTTGCCCCAACAGAGTAATGAAGTAAATCAATTAAAAAAGCCAATATCTTACAATGAGATAAAGGAAGCAATCAGAAGTTTTCCAACAAGGAAAAGCCCAGGACCAGATGGATTCACAACAGAATTCTATAAGACCATTAAAGAAGAACTCATAACCATACCCCTCAAGATCTTTAGAGAAACAAAGAAGGAAGGAACTATCCAAAATTCATTCTATGATGCCAATATCACACTCATCCCCAAACCAGGCAAAGACCCAACCAAAAAAGAGTATTACAGACCAATTTCCTTAATGAACACAGATGCAAAGATCCTTAAGAAAATTCTAGCTAACAGAATCCAGAAACACATAACAAAATCATACACTATGACCAAGTAGGCTTCATCCCAGAGATGCAGGGATGGTTTAACATATGTAAATCAATAAATGTAATCCAACACATAAACAAAGCCAAGGTCAAGAATCACATGATTATCTCCACAGATGCAGAAAAGGCTTTTGATAAAATACAACATTCATTCATATTAAAAGCCCTGGAGAAAATAGGAATAGAAGGAATATTCCTTAAAACAATAAAAGCCATATACGACAGACCAATAGCCAATATTATACTTAATGGGGAAAAGCTACAACCAATTCTCTTAAAATCAGGAACAAGGCAAGGATGCCCACTGTGTCCACTCCTCTTCAATATAGTCCTGGAACCCTTAGCAGGGCAATAAGGCTAGAAAAAGACATTAAAAAGATCTGTATAGAGAAAGAAGAAGTTAAACTATCCCTTTTTGCAGATGACATGATACTATACCTTCATGATCCAAAAACTCTATCTCCAAACTCTTAGAAATCATAAATCACTTTGGCAAAGTAACAGGATATAAAAATAACCCACAAAAATCAGTTGCCTTCCTGTACTCTAACAATGTATAAGCAGAGAGGGAAATAAAGTAGGCAACACCATTCACAATAACCTCCCAAGAAATAAAATATTTAGGAATTAACCTAACCAAAGATGTAAAAGAACTAATTAATGAAAACTATAAAAAGTTAAAGAAAGAACTTACAGAAGAAACAGGAAATGGAAAGACCTTCCATGCTCTTGGATAAGCAGATAATATAATGAAAATGGCAATAATGCCAAAATTAATATACAAATTCAATGCAATTCCTATTAAAATCCCAATGACATTCGTTTCTGAAATAGAGAAAACAGTCCAAAAATTCATATGGAACAACAAAAGACCTAGAATAGATAAAACAATTCTAGGAAAAAAGACAACGTGGGAGGGATCTTGATGCCGAACTTCAAATTCTACTATAGAGCCATAATAACAAAGGCAGCATGGTACTGGCACAAAAACAGACCCGAAGACCAATGGAACAGAATAGAAGATCCAGAAATAAAACCACATACCTACAGTCAGCTGATATTTGACAAAGGAGCCAAAGACATACAGTGGAAGAAACACAGCCTCTTCAACCACTGGTTCAGGGACCCCAGCCTATCACCATGCACCAACATCAACTCAAAATGGATTAAAGACCTTAAAATTAAACCTGAATCTCTGAAACTACTGCAGGACAGCCTAGGAGAGGCACTTGAACTTATAGGCACAGGCAGGAACTTCCTGAACAGAGTCCCAGGGTCACAACAAATTGGAGAGAGACTCGACAAATGGGACTACCTTAAAATAAGAAGTTTTGCACTGCTAAAGCTATAGCAACCAATCTAGAAAGACAACCAACTAATTGGGGAAAAAACAACTGGCCTGTTGTTTTCTTAAGAGCATATCTACACATGTCTACAATGCATCAAAAACACTGAGACATAAATAATAGCATAGAGTTTTGAAAAGCACATGAAATATTTAATGTTTTAAATGTAAATCTACATTTGTTTAATTTTGTACTTCCAGTAGTTTCTGATAATAGAAAAGAAAAAGCTTAATATTGGAGACAATTACTTCAAATACTGAATATTAATATCAGCACTCATAATATGTATGACATAGGAATACAAACATATATATAGCTGTGTCTATGTAAACAAATAATATATATATATATATATACAGAAATACATGAATATATAAAGAAATATTTACATACAGTAAGAAACCACTATAGAAAGTGTTCATCTCATGGTGTTTGTACTCCAACATAGAAAACTTACCTTAGCAGAGGAAGGTAGTGTTCCTTTTCTATTTCCCATTGTTTGAACTTCTGTTTGATGAAGAAGCATCTCATGGAGAGGCTGGGCCACAGCATAAATAGCGTTGTATATATTGTAACTGTCTACAGATATAGTCATTTCAAATATATGCCCAGGTAACCAATCCAAAGAGGAATCAAGAGGACAATTGTCCCATGTTACACAGTTAGAATCAGAGCAATTAAAAGAGAGAAACCACAGCCTGGCAAGAAAAATCTCTTCTGGATATTTAGAAGGCTTACCTGTCTTGACAAAATCTGTGAATCCAGAAAGATTTACATGATGATGTGTAAAAATAAGACGTACATGCAATGAGCTTAGCATGAAATATCTCATTTATCCCACTGTGAGTTCATGATACAAACTTTCCCATGTATAATAATTTTCTCAGTCAATACCATTAAACCTAGCAGTGAATCATTATCACCATATATGAAGAAAACACTTGGTGAAGCTAGGTTTATCTCATCATGAACTGCTGTGAGTTTGAATACATGTGAAACATCTTGGGATGAGATCACTAGCTCATAGGCTACACAAACTCTGTTCTTGGCCATCTCTTCTTTCAATTCAGCAAGAACCCATGCACCATCCTCATCTTGTGTAGACAACAGTCCCACCCAGCTGCAGCTGAAGTGAAGCAGTAAGAACACCATGGCACTGCCTATATATGTGTCCTTTGGTGCCATCTGATAGAGAGAAGGAAACTTGTTATGGTCACTCAAGGCATGATCAAAAGGCCCAAAGGTAAACTAAAGGGAAAGAAAATTGGACAGTCCATGAATGGGAAGATTGCCATCCATCACAATCTCAGTCTTGATGTCTGTTAAGAACCAGTTGAAGTAGGTAGAGGTAGGTTTTGAGTTTTTGAAAAAAAATTATTTAATTGCTTTTGAATAGTTGTACAACATATCAACAGACTTGCAAATTGTCTCTTGATATTTGTTACTATTTCCATCAACTCTTCTCATCTATATCAACTTCAGTCACTCCCAAACTCGTCTAATTACATTTTCACACATGCCCTTTGAATATTATGTTGATTTTCCCCACTCATCCATTCCTTATTCTTTTGAAATTATCCCTTAACCCTTACTCTGCTCCTCCAAGATATGCATGGTATTCATTTTTTACACTGTCAGTTTTTCAAACTGTCTAAAGATACATTTCCAACTACCTTTGAGTAATTATGACATGCCACAAAATTTGCTGCATTCATGAATAGTCTTTTCCCATCCTTCTCTTCTAACACCTGAAATACCACCAAATTAGATGTTTTTATAACCTTACACACCTCCCACCCTCACCTGTGGAAATCTGTAGAGTCCTAGCAATGTCCCAATCTGGTCAGATGTTATTCCTGATGGTCCTGTAAGTACTGCTATAAACCTGCTGTCTCTCATACAGGAGAAGTTTGGAATCTTGTACTTCCCAAAGAGACAAATGAAAGGATTCTTAAACATTGTCCAAGGTCTGAAGTGATCATCGTAGATATCAAATCCCAGAGTTAAATTATGTGAAAGATCAGGGTTGTTGTTTATCTCCTCAATAGCAAAAGCCAAGGCCAAAACACACTGATAGTTCTTGAAGATAAACCTGCATAATGAGTGAATAAATTGAGGAGGAGTATTTCAAAACTTAAGGCTTTGATACATTAAATGCTTTCTTTTTGTCAATGAATATGTTCAAATATTACTCCAATTAGAATGGAATGTAAATGCAGTCTCTTATGCTTCCATATAGAATGAGGTAAGGACACGAAGGGCATTTGTCATGAATGAGATTCAGATACTTATTTAAGTCAAGGGAGAGTTTGTTTTTCCCTATTACCACATGCATCACAGCAAAAGGCTTTTGTCTGTTGGATTCAGTTATCATGAGACAGCAAATGCTGTATTGCCTTTACATTAGAGCAACTAGCTACACCTCTATTGAAAATAATTTTTGTGTTTTTAGTAATCCAGTTTATGTTATGTGTTTATTTGGCAGGTCAGGCTAACTAATGAATGTTTAAATTAAGAGTAATATTCATATGCAAAGTTTCAATTATTAATCATTCTATAGCCAGCTCTGCTCACAGACACACTGAATAGCTCTTACTGATAACAACCAGAAAAAGAGCTGAAATATCAGAGGGGGGAATTTTACTTTCATTCATGTAGCAAAACAATTTTAAGGAACTCATTTTAGGAAGAGGAACCCATGATATGAGTGTTGAGGAGAGATTGATAGGTAACCTTTGTATGGAAATCCCTGTCCCAGGGCTCCATGTAATATGCATAGATCACTGCACTCTTCCCAAAATATTTAGAGTGAGATACTGAAAATTAACCAGTGGACAGAAACAAAGATGATCAGTGTATGTTTCTTTCTTTGTGTCCTGTTTGTGTGAGCAATGATATGTGAGTAGGCTTGTGTGTAAGTGTGTGAGGACATTCTAAAGAAATCAATATAATGAAATAAACCCGCATTGTTTAAAAGGAAACAAGAAGTCACATTGAAAATAAAAATGAAAGGAACTTTTTAAATGTATACTGTAGCTATATGTGAAGTGATCACAATGGACGTTTATCATATTTTGAAATATTCTAAGCAAAAAAAATAGTGACCTTGATGAAAATCTAATTGAACATCCATATTTGGAGGAATAAAATGTAGGAATGAAGATGAGTGAAAAACGTTTGTCAAAAGTTGTCGAGAGTATTTTCCAAAAAAGCAAATGTAGAGATGCACACAAACTAAAAGACCAAAAGATGAAGGGATAGTCAACATTTTTAACATGATATCTACCTCAAGCTATGTTTGCATGAAGCACTAATAAGTGAAATACATATACAGCGATGATTCTCTAAAGTATAACAGAAATGGGAACCATGTCCCATAGGTTGGCACCAATTTGCACTATAGTTGACATCTCGGTAGAATCCATGTAAGTCAAGAGAACATGGCAAGAAGATGTTTGCAGTTCTGAAGATAAAAACAATCTAAATTATCCACCAAGAGTATTTCACCTAGCCAAGCTATCTTGTAGAAATGAAGGAAGTATTAAGATGTTCCCAGAGAAGCACAATTAAGAGAATGTATCGTCACTAGACCCTTCTTACATGAAATGCTAAAGTTAAGTTTTTCAGAACTCAAAAAAGAACCATTAATAAAAATGAACAATACACAAGAATGTATACTTTGTGTCCTGTGAACACAAATGAATCACAGAAAATACTCAAACCCAAGGAAACTGGGAAATTCATTGATGAGTCTTTATGAGTTCTTTGAAGAGAGAGATAAGAAAGGAAATTTAATCATTTCTGGGACTCAATGTGAAGAATTCATAAAATATCAACTCCATTGGCACACAACAAAAGCATATCTCAGAGGATAGCCCATCATCAACACACTAGAAAAATCTGATCAATACCTTAACGATGCATTTCATAGGCAGAACTGACACTTCTTGGAAGATTGTGGCATCATCACAGGTAAACTACTTAGCTGTGTCTGACAAAAGAGCTATTTAGATTCCCTGCATCCACTTCACCTCGAGAGATCCACACTGATCAAACTTTAAACAGACAGAGACTCATTCAAATACAGAAGAAATTTCACAGCAGAAACACAGAATCAGAAGACAGCAAGACAGCATGCAGAACCCTGCAGAGTAGCTGCAGCCTTGGCCCATTTCCTCTCCCGGCAGCCCAGGCAGAACCAGAAGGACATGCCTGAAGTGCCACCAGTCCAAACTTAAACAGAGAACAGTGTGATGCTAATAAAATCACACCACAAACACTAACCCTAGAAACACAGGAGGTAAAGTATGGCAGACATCTGAATCAGCTTGGGGACCCCTATCGAGAGGCTTCTGCTGCAGGCAAACAACACAAAGGAGGAGAGACACCACAGGACCAGTGTAGGGTGAAACAGTCAGAGAAGATAGAGACTGCCACATTCAGACACACAGGCCCCTCAAGAAGACTCCTGCAGCCCAGCTCAAAACTTTCTCTGGAATCTGTGAGTACCTCATATGGGATTCCATCCTTGGAGGACCAGTTCCAGGTGATGATCTAATTAGTCAATAACAATTCAGACAAATGAAATGGCAATAAAATCCTCCCATTCATGAAAAGCCCAGACCCAGATACATTCACAGCAGGAATCTATAAGGTCTTCAAATAGGAACTCACTTTCTTAATGAATTAGAAAGGGAAAAATCTTCAATGAATTATAAAGGGAAAAATCACTACCAAATTCATTTTGTGAATTCAACATAACACTCATCCCCAAACCACATAGGATCTCATCAATAAGGGGTGGGAATGGGTGAAGGGGGCATGAGGAGGAGATTCGAAGGGGTGGGAAGGGGAAACAAAAGAGGAGGCAACAATGTTTGATAAGAAATGTACTCTATCTTGACCATGTAATTGTAACTCCTTTGTATGGTATTTTCACAACAAAAAAATTTTAAAAAAGAAATGTACTCTTTACCTTGCCCATGTAATTGTAACCCCTCTGTATGGTATTTTCACAGTTATAAAAAAGATCTATAGAACCAGTGTTTGGTGGACGTTGATGCAAAACTTCTCAACAAAATTCTAGCCAGCTGAATTTAAAAAGTAACCAAAAAAAATCATACATATGTTCAAATAGGATTCATTCTAGAATTGTAAACCTGGTTCAATAAACACAAGTCAATTAATGTAATTCAACATATCAATTGAGATAAAGAGCCACATGTTCATTTCAATAAATGCAGAAAAATTATTTGACAAGATTTAACACCCCTTCATGATAAAACCTCTAGAGAAGCTATGAATCCATGGAGGTTCTTCAATATAATAAAGGCTATCTATGACAAACCTAGAGTCAGCTATATACTTAATGGGGAAAATTTAAAACCATTCCTTCTAAAATCAGAACAAGACAAGGATGTCTACAAAACTCCATTCCTCTTAACCACGCTGCTGGAAATCCTAGGAAGAGAAATAAGGCAAGAGAAACGCATACATGAGTCTAAATAGGGAAAGAAGCAGTAAAGTTATTCATCTCCAAATTAGACAGGGCCGCAATGAGAAAAGACAACTCTATATCTTTCTCCTCAATGAAAATTGATGCAGTACCCCTCAACAAAATACTGGCAAATAGAATCCAACAACTGATCCAGTAAATCATACTTTATGATCAAAGGGGATTCAGACCAAGGATACAAAAAAGTGCAATATTTAGAAGCTAAGTATTATTTATAAATGATTCTATAGTAATCTCAGCTCACAGACCAAAATATTGAATAGCTCTTTCGGACAACAATCAGAAAAAGGTGCTGCACTATTAGGGGCAGGGATTTTATTTTTATGTATGTAACAAAATGAAAGGGATGCATCCAATTTCAAGGAACTCATTTTGGAGACAGCAACCCATGATATGGTGGTTGAGGAGAGAATTGTAGGTCAGCTTTGCATAGAAATCCCAGTTCCAAGGCCTCGATGATAAATGCATTAATCACTACTCTGTTTCCAATATTTTTAGATTGAGATACTGAAAAGTAACCAATAGAGCAAAAGAAAGAGTACTTTTCTTTCTTTCTCTGTGTTATGTCTGTGTGCACCAAGGTATATGTGAGGGTGTGTATTTGTGTGTGTTTACATGCAAGTTCATGAGTGGGAATATTCTAAATAAAATAATATAATGAAATCAACTGGTATTGTTACAAAGAAACACTGAACTTATTCAAAATGTACCGTAGGTTTATGTAAAGTGAACACAGTTAAAAAATGTCATATTCTAAAATGTTCTAAACAGAAGGAATTAGTGAGTTTCAGGAAAATTTAATTGAATATTCTCATATGGAGAAATAAAATGTAGGAATGAAAATGTTTGAAAAAGGGTTGTCAAAAGTTGGTGAGACTATTTTCAAAAAAGAAAAAGTTGAGAGGCATTCAAAGTAATAAAGTCAAAAAATAATCAGTTTTGCCATGACATCTGCAGCAAGCTGTTTTCGCATGAAGCTCTCACAAGTGAAATACATTTACAGGGATGATTCTGCAAAGTAAAACAGAAATGGACCTATATCTTATAGGTGTGCACACATTTCTATAACAGCTGACTCCTCAGTAGAGTCCATATAAGCCAAAAGAACATGGAAGAAGTCCTTATAGTACAGGAGATAAAAAAATCTATATTATATATGTTGAAAAGTGAACTTTACAATTTGAGCAGATAGGGAAATAGTGGGAAGGGGGGAGTGTAGTTGTGGAGTTGGAAGGGAAGGGATGGTAGGGGATAAGCAAAGAAGGAGGTTACAATGTTTGATAGGAAATATACTTATTACCTTGCTCATGTAACTGTAACCCCTCTGTATAGTTTTTTATACAATAAAAGTATTTAAAAAAATCTAAATTATCCAACAAGAGTATTGCACCTTGCAAAGCTATCCTGTAGAAGTGAAGGAAGGATAAAGATGTTCCCAGAGAAGCACAGTTAAGAGAATGTTTTCCCATTAAACCCTTCCTACATGAATTAATAAAGTAAGTTTTTCAGAACACAAAACAGATACATTAATGAACAAGAAATATATACAAGAATGTATATCCCGTTTCCTGTGAACACAATGAAACTTGAGTACAACAGCATATGAATTACAGAAAATACTCAAACTCATGGAAACTGAGCAATTCATTGATGAGTCTTCAGGAGATCATTGAAGAGAATGATAAGAAAGGAAATTTAATTATTTTGGGACTCAATGTGGAAGTATACATAAAATATCAACTCCATTGGCCCACAAGAAAGGCAAATTCCATGCATTCCCTTCACCTCAAGAGATCTACACCAATCAAAGTTGTAATAGAGACTCATTTAAACACAGAAGAAATCTCATAGCAGAAACAAAGGAGCAGAAGACACAACACAGCATTCAGACTCCTGTTGAATGGCTGCAGCCTAGGAGCATTGCTTCCCCAGGCAGCCCAGGGAGGCCCAGAAGGACATGCCTGAAATGCCACCAGTCAAAGCTTAATCAGAGAGCACTGTGATACTGATAAAAATAACAACACAAAGCACTAACCTTAGAAACACAAGGAGGGAAAGCGGGCAGATATCTGAATCAGCTTGGGGACTCCTATGGAGATCCTGTTGCTGTTCCTATACAAAAAATGGAGGACAGACACCACAGGAAGGTAGGGGGAAACAAGAAGAGAACATTGAGACTGCCACATCCAGACACAGAGGACCCTCAAGAAGATTCCTGCTGGCCAGCTCAAAACTGGCTCTGGAATCTCTGAGTACCTCATAGGGGACTCCTTCCTTGGAAGACCAGTTCCAGGTTGAGATGTAAACAACCAATAACAATTGAGGCAATTGAAATGGATATAAAGGCCTCTCTTTCATGAAAAGCCCAGGACCAGATGGATTCACAGCAGGAATTTATAAGGTCTTCAAATAGGAACTAACTCATACTCCTCAAAATCTTCAAGGAAATAGAATGGGAAAGATCACTGCCAAAATCATTCTGTGAAGCCAACATAATGTTCCACCCCAAACCAGAGAGGAACTCATCAATTAAAGAGGACTACAGACCAATTTCTTTGATGGATGTTGATGCAAAATTGCTCAACAGATTTCTACACAACAGAATTCAAAACGTAACCCAAAAAATCATACATATGTTCAAATCGGATTGCAATCCTGTATTGCATTCCAGGACTGCAATCCTGGAATGAGTATAATTCATTTAATATAATTCAACACATCAACCAAGGTAAAGCATCATGATCTTCTCAATATAATCAGAAAAATAATTCGACAATATTTAACACCCTTTTATGATAAACGTTTTAGAGAATCTATGAATACATGGAGGTGTCTTCAGTATAATAAACGCTAGCTATGACAAACCTAGAGTAAGCATTATACTTAATGGAAGAAACTTAAAAACATTCCCTCTAAAATCAGAACAACACAAGGATGCCTACAATCTCCATGCCTCTTTTTTTCCCTGAAATTCTTTTAGATCTTCCTGCTTTTGCCATGTATGTGCTGAGATTACAGGCATTAGTAACCACCTCTGGGTCTTCTTTATTGTTTTAGTATTGTCTGTCTTTCTATCTGTCCTATCCATCCATACTTTCAGTTAATTCCTAGCAATCCCATTGTTGTCATTTATTCAAAGATCACAAAACAGACCACAACTAAGCCATAAACTTTATCATGAAAATTGCAGAATTGTTTACTCTAACCATGCAATGGAATCAACCTAGATGTCCCTCAATGGATGATGGAACAAGAAAACATGGTCTATATTCACAATGGAATTATACTTATCTATCAGAAACAAGGATACTCTAACTTTTATAAGGAAATGGAAAACCATGGAAAAATTATTTTAAGGAAAGTAAGACATGTGTGCTGCATTTTCCCTATTTTGTGGTGACTAGAATGTCCCTGTAAAACTAAAAATAAAAAGAGAATGAATAAAATGAATAAATAAATATTATACATATGTATGCACAGACCCTAGGACATGGGAATTTATATAGGACCACAGACATTAACATATAGAGGTAAAAGGACGATATGGCTAGGAGTGGTGGAAAAGAGACCAATGGGTATGGAAATAAATCAATCAATATTCTATGAAATGAAGTAAAGGAAAAGAAAACAAAAACTATTTTTTCATTTGTAATTTTTGCAGTTTTTCTATCTTTACCTTTTGTTGGTTTATTAGTTTGTATTTTGGAGGGTAAGGAGGAGCACATAAAGTTGGAACAAGGATGAAAAACGACAACAGTTATATGCAGAAGACACTAGGTGGAAAATGAACTGGATAGGTTGTAGGTGGAGATGGGCAGGAAAGAGAGAGTGTGATGAACTGGATATGTTGTAGGTGGAGATGGGCAGGAAAGAGAGAGTGTGATGAAAGAACAGACCTAAGTCAGAAAAAATTGTACTCTTTACTCATGTACTTGTAACCCCTCTGAATAACAATAACCCCTCTACAATAAAAATAACATATGATAAGTAAGTTAAAAACCCATAAATAAAATAAATAGGCCCTTCACAACAATGAAGTTGCATTGGCAATGACACACCTCCTCCAGAAAAGCCCAGCATCTGATAGCTTTATAGCCAGTTCTAAAAGAGCGTTAAAGGAGAATTTTCACCAGTACTCCTCAAACACTTCAAAGAACTAGAAAGGGAGGGAACACTACCCATTCTATGAAGCCAGCATTACACTCAACTCCAAACAAGGGAATTCTACACTGAGAAAAGACAACTCTATATCTTTGTCTTCAATGAACATCGATGCATTACCTCTCAACAAAATACTTGCAAATAGAATCCAACAACTGAGGAAGGGGAAACAAAGAAAGAAGCAACAATGCTTGATAAACAATGTACTCATTACCTTGTCCATGTAATTGTAACCAGTCTGTATGGTATTTTCACAATATAAAAAAAGAATCCAACAACTGATGCAGAAATTCATACATTATGATTCAAGGGGATTCATAACAGGGATACAAATCTGTTTTAACAAATGCAAATCAATTAACATATTATAGCACATCAGTAGAAACAAAGGCAAAATCCTTATGATTAATTCAATTGATATCCACACCCCTGTATGATAAAAGGTCTGGGGAAGCTAGGAGTCTTTGAAACATTCCTCAATGTAAGATAGATTGTATATGAACAATATACAGCCAGTTTTATGCTTAATGGTGAACAACTAAAGATATTTCCCCTACATTCAGGAACAAAACAAATATGTCCACTCTCTTCATTCTTCTTCAACATGGACTTGGATTTCCTAGCAAGAGCATTAAGCAAGGGGAAAGTATTTAGGTGAACCAAACAGGCAAGAAAGAGTAAAACAATCCCTTTTTCCAGAAGACATGGTCATATATTTAAGCGCACCTAAAATCTCCTCTTCTGTAGCTAGTAAAATTGATCCTGAGCTTTGACAAAATTGCTAGTTACAAAATGGACTCACAAAAATTAAGTTCCTGCCTCTATGCCATTGAGAGATCAAGCAATATCATCCTATTTGCAATTGTCTCAAAAATAATAAAATACCTGGGAATGAACCAATAGGGAAAAGACCACTATAGTGAAAACTTTAACAATTTGAAAAGGAAAAGCATAGAAGAATTAAGATAGAAAGATATTTTGTGCTCCTGGGCTAGAAGAATTAGCATTGTGAAAATGGAAAAACTGCCCAAAGTAATTTACTAATTCAATGCAATATCCAAAAATTCCCAACAAAATTATTCAGAGAAAGAAAAAGCAATCCAAACTCTGATAGAGAATTAGTAAAGACTGAAAAGCAAGGCAATTCTTAGTGGTCAGAACAGGTCAGGACAAATAACAATACTGACGCACGCTTAAGCATTATTAGAGAGGCATAGTAATGAAAACAGCATGGTACTTGCAAAAAGATAAGCCAGAGGACCAATGGAACAGAAGACAATGAAATGAACACAAAGAACTATTTGATAAAGGGAAACAAGAATATAAGCTGAAATAAAATGCTTGCAAAACAGGACATCCATGTGCAGAAAATTTAAACTAGATAGCTATACATTACCTTGCACCAATATCAATTTAAAATGGATCAAAGATCACAATGGAAAGCCAGAAAACATGAAACAGTTACAGGGAAGTGTAGGGTAAGGGGAGGGCTCCTCAGAACAGATTAAAAACTTTATAAGTAAAATTCCTAAATCAGAACAAATAAAAAGTAATTTAAAAATGGGTCTACACCAAACAATATTTTCTGCATTACAAATCATTTAGGTATCAAGCTAAATAGAAAGACCATAGAACAGATTTTTACCAGGTATTCATCAGAGAAAGGACCCATATCCAAAACACACCTGGAGTTCAAAATGGTGATTACTCCAAGATTCATCATCTCAACTAATAATTGAGCTAATGACTCAACAGAAATATCTCAGAAGAAGAGATAAGAATGACCAATAGACACTTAAAAGAAATATTCATCATCTCTTACCATAAAGGAAACTCAAGTCAAGACCAAACTGGGATTGCACCTCATCCCACTTAGAATGGCCATTATCAAGGAAACAATAAGAAATTCTGCCAACAAAATGGACAAAGGGAACTCTATTTTATTGTTTGTGGAACTGATAGATACCCAGATATACACCCATCTTTGATTATTAGACTTTATCCTTCATTGTGTGAAGACTTAATTCAGATATGTATTATTCAATTCAAAATCTCTCAGACTTACGACCTGCCATTGTAGTATTATTTCTTTATATAATAATTTTAAGTGCTTAATTAAAAAATAATTTTTCCTTTTTCTTTTTTTCTGAATCTCGCTGCTCCATTCCCTCTATCTTTTTCCTCTCTCTGAATTTAGTTCTTAGGTATCTTTCCTCTCTCCTTATCCTTTCCCACATTCCTCTATTATATTTTTCTGCTCACAATTCTCCCTAAATCTATTAATTTCTTGTGGTCTGTTGACTCCTTCTTTGATTTTCTTAGTCCATTATTCCCTCTTTGTTGCTGAACTAGATGATATCTGTTTAACTAGATTGCATCTTTACTCTTTTTGACTGCATCATACAATCTGTACAAGTACAGGGCTCTGGTTGATGCTTGCCTTAAAATAATAGTGTTCTAGCATAGAACTAATTCTGCTTTCACACACAAACGGGCAGTACAAACCGGAAAAACACAATAAGAAGCTGCCTGAGGTACCAGTGTCAGACCCGCCGATTGCAAGGAAGACCCGGCAGGGGCTGCCGAGGTCCCAGAGACACAGGGAGCTGCCTGCAGATAACTCACACAGAAGCTGCCTGAGGTACCAGTGTCAGACCCGCCGACTGCAATAAACGGAGAAACCCCCGAGTCTGGAAATTGGCCACACGATGGGAGCCCCCAGAGCTACACGGGACACCCACAGAACACCAATGCCAAAGATCTACAAGGAACTGGTCCTGATATGGAGAGTGCAAACCCCAGTGCTCAGTGTATGGAGGCCCAGCCTCCACCCCTTGCCCGTGGTGTGGACACTGTGGACCCGACAGCTTCGACACAGGCAGAGACAGAAGAGAATCACACAGAGTTACCACCGCCCAGCCCAGCCTGCAACCACCTCAACTGAACTTGGCTTGCAACAGCAACTGATGACCTACACCACACAGAAACAACTAGCTCCAGGGTGAGTACCCCACAGGGGACAGTGTATCCCTCAAGGGAGACCAGAGTTGGAGGGAATCCCCAGACCCTGACCCAGACTCCCTACCCCAACACCCGGACTACAGGACCCACTAAAACTGGGAACTGTTCGAGAGCTCCACCAGCCTGTGGAGCACACTCTGCTGTCCAGACTAGAGCAAGAGCGCCCCTGGAAGGGAGCTTAAATACCCAAGCCAGGAATAGTGCCCCTGGATCAAGACAATCAACAGTAGAAGAAATTTGAACTGTGTACCCCAGGCTGCATAACCTAGGTGGTATACACAGCAGCACAGGCCCAACCAGCGCGCCGCGTGCCCCAGGCAGGGGGACGGAACCAGGCCTGGGGATCCAGCACCTGAACACCACCAACTCCTCCCAACTGAAGTCAAAAGCTGAGCATAAGCCTCAGCAGAGGGGAGAAAAACAGGGAACTGCACCCCCTGGGAAGCACGCTTGTGACAACAAAAGACCTGGAGCCTCAGGATAAGAGAAGCCCAAACCCCACCAAAACCTGACCCATATACTCTAGGCTGGGAATTGGGCAACACAGGCTGCCAGCACCTGATAGTAGGCAGGAGTTCAGGCTGATAAGATGGCTCAGCAGTAGAGTAATAGTCTTGGATGCATGAGGCCCTGGATCTGATTCCTCAGCATCACATAAGCAAAAAGGGTCAGAAATGGTGCTGTGCTCAAATGGTAGGGTGCCAGCCTTGAGCTGAAGAGCTGAGGGACAGCACCCAAACCTAGAGTTCAAGCCCACAACCAGCCCCCAAACAAACAAACAAAAACATCAGGAGCCCATAGCAGACTCCAGCATCTGGGAGAGTGCAGCCAGAGCATCCGATCTTGCCAAGAGCACCCGTAGGTCAAACCTGCAGCTGGAGGTAGGCCCCCAACAGAACCCAGATCAGGCACAGACTCTCTCTACCAATACAGAATCAGCAACCAAGCAAAGACAGACACACCAAAACAAAATTGAAGATTAGTCTCCTGAACCCCCATGCAAAAATCACAGAGAAAAATTACAAGGTTTATCACCACCCAGGATAGCAAGCTATCCTCAATAGCCAGCAGCCATGCAGGGGAGAACCCCAGGGGGAGCAAAGCAGGAATGGAAGACAAAAGCTACATCCAAGGGATGCTGGAGGCAATGACTCAAGAAATAAAGCTGGAAATAGACCAGAAATTGAAAAAGCACAAGGATGAACTATCAAAAGAGATACAGGATATCAAACGGGAGATGCATGTAAAACTAGAGGCAGCAGAAACCTCAGTAAGAAATGAGATAAATGCCAAATTAGAGGCAGTACATACCTCATTAAGAGGTGAGATCAGTACTTTGAGAACCAACATCGAATCCATAAAGGAGTTCATGTCCTCCATGCAAACTACAATAGAAACCACCATCAACAGAGTGAATGAAATGGAATGTAGAGTGTCAGATACAGAAGACAGAATATACCAACTGGACGAAAAAGTGACAGATATGGAAAAATCACTCAAATTAAGCCAAAGGGAAATTCAAGAGCAAGCAGATAATGCCAAGAAATTTAACCTTCATATAATTGGAGTGGACGAAGGTGAAGAATTTCAGAGCAAGGGAATGCAACACCTATTTAACAAGATAATCGATGAAAATTTTCCCCACCTCAAAAAAGAACATCTTACCTACATAACAGAAGCATATAGAACACCCAACAAGCAAGATCCCAGGAGAAACACTTCTACACACAGTATAACAAAAAAGAGATAGAAATGGAATGACTAGGAAAAGGTGATATTAAGTGTACTAAGCCAGACTCAGAGAAGCCCAAGTTGCATGATTTCCCTTCTTGGTGGGAAGTAGAATGTGCCTATAAATCTAGAAGTAAACCCACTGGATTGCACCCAAGCAATAATAAATGAATTGTCTGAAATACAATAAAATCTATGAGGAACATGATGAGTATAATTCTTTAGCACAATAAAGGCAATGGCCAACAAAATGAGTACTAGGAGTACCTGAGGGGTGTGGGAGCCCAATGCAGAGGGATAGAAACAAGACTGTGGGAAATGAGCAGAACGCAGGTAAGATTGCATTGGATATGCCACAGAATTGGGAAAAAAAGGGAAGGATTTAGTATTACAGGAGAAGCATATTGAAGGGATAACACAATTCCAGATGCTTTGTATAAATAAATTGCTTTGTTAAATGGCAAAAATACAAGACAATCTCCAATTAAGTAAAGAGAGGGTTGGGGTTGGGGTGAGAGTGGTGGGTGAACATGTTAAAAGGGGTGATCTTGATCGAGACACATAGTATTACTCAAATGCTCTGTTGAAGGACAACTCGTTTGAACAAAAATATAAAGAAATTAATCTTTCAAATTTATTAAATTTACTGGTAAGGGTACATGTAGTAATATAATATATATTATAGAGTCTATATATTATATAATACACAAAGACCACATATATATCACTACATATATGAAACTATGAACAATAAACATAAATATATATAAGTATATACAAAATTATACATATAGTGTACATAAATTTTCTGTTAAATAGCAAAAGGTACAATATATAATTCAAAAATTAAGACAAGATAGATGGTTTGGAGGTGTGGGTGAAAATGGGGTGAAATGGTTCAAGAGACACTGTGTTCAAAAACTGCTCTGTTGAATGACAACTGTTCATACTACTACCAAAAGAAAATTAAACTTTGAAAATGTATAAAATTTACTGGTGACACTGACCATACAAGTGAACCAAGAAGGTTCTACCATTGTAAATATTGTAGACGACTGTTACACATGATTTTTATGAAGAGGGATACCTAGTAATTTCCAAAGAAAAATGGAAAATTAAATATTCAATTTTCAAATTATGGGGGGAATACAATGTAGTTACCATTTACATTTGTATGACTTTAATATCTGAAAATATTTTTATTTTGATTTTTTGACAAGGTGATGTACAGAGGGAGTACAGTGATATTAGTCAGGTAGTAATTGCCGTGGACCGGCTCTGTCGGGACAATGGAGGACACCTAGTGGAGGAACTGGAATAGGTGGGGAGATGGCAAACAGAAAACTCACACACAAGAGGAGTGGATGCTGAGTGCGATTTAATGCAGAGGATAACAAGCTTTTATAGCAAAAGTCTCCATGAGAAAGGGCAAAAGGTTACACAATCTTGCTGCAGGGCTTCATTCTTGGGTGGTCACCAGTTGGTCGCCTGATAGGCACTTGTTTCCGGCTTATCTCTATTTTTAAGAAATACAATGGGTTTCGATGTTTGTCACCAATTAACCATTACCTTTTTTTATAGAGGCCTTAACTGTCCCATAAGATCTTTCCTGTTCCTTCTTTAATAGTAAGCACCAAGGAGGCCTAGATCAAGCAAGTCTCTTAGTAAATGAAAGAGAGTAACAGGAAATTCTTTCTAAGTAGTTCTCCCAGCAATTGCCATACATTCTCTCTGTTCTAGCCAGCCTACAGCTTCTTGTAAATCTCTTACAAACAATTCCTTCTGCTGAAGTGACTTCGTGAACCCCCCATTACTTTTATATTTACTTATGACTTGTCTACTAGCCTCCATAAGAGGGGCTTTTAGGGTAGCACTTAACTCTGGTGAGTTAGTCATATTTTTAAGACACTCATCAGATGTTGGAGTCATCAACACTCTTAAGAAAGAGCTTTGAATAAGGGAACATTGAGCATGAGTAAGTACAATGAACAGCAGAAACAGTAAAAGATTAATAGGCACTCTTATACAGTGAAGAAAAGAAAAGCAGGGACAGAAACACATCTTTCCCAGGGGTTTGCCAGCCTTTCCAGCAGGTAGGCCTCTTTGAAGCCCCATTCTCTGAGGTAGACTTCGGTGAAGTCCCATTCTCAGAGATAGGTCTCTGTGAAGCCCCATTCTCTGAGGTAGACTTCGATGAAGTCCCATTCTCAGAGATAGGTCTCTGTGAAGCCCCATTCTAAGGTCTGAAAGCAGGTTTCCCATGCTAAGCAGACTCCACCAGAGTAAGCGTGGCAAGTAATTACATTTCTTGTCAAATTTGTAGCCACATCTTATCTTAAAATATTAAACAAAAATTTCATTAAAAGTTAAAGGAAAATATTTCATTATAACATGTCTCTATATTCAGTTATGGATTTGATCAGAGCCCTATATTAATTGTGTGTGTATGTTTTTTTTCTTTTATCCTCATCATCACAGATTTTTGCCATTATTCCAAAGTAGCTTCTTGTAATCTATTTTAAGCCCCATAAGTACCTCAAAATCTGTAGCAGACAAATGAAAGTTCATAATCCATAAGTTAAAACTCACTACTATTGAACTTACTTAATAAACATCAAAGACTCTAAAGGAGAGGAAGGGAGGAACAAGTTTCAATAAACCAGGAGAATAAGGTATATAATGGCAAAGTTGAGAATTGATCTGTCAATAATGACTGAGAATGCAAACTCGACAAATAAAAATTGGAATGCCTGAATGAATAAAACCCTCAAGATCAAACTGTCTAAGAATAGTTTAATTCCAGGAAAGTTAGTTGACCATCAATGGCCTTCAATGAGAGTAATAAAGTAAGGTAAGCCAGATCCACAGAAACATAGGTTGTATGATTTCTCTGAGTATAGAATGTACCTACAAATCTACAAATAATCAAACCAAATGGCTAAAAAAAAGAGCAGGGGCTGGGAAGTGGGCTCAGTGGTAGAGTGCTTGCCTTGCATGTAGGAGGTTGGGTTGAATTCCTCAGCACATTAGCAAAAAAAGCCAGAAGTGGTGCTGTGGCTTAAGTGGAAGAGTGCTAGCCTTGAGGTGAAGGGATGAAGGACAGCACCCAGGCCCAGATTTAAAGCCCCACAATCAACCAAAAAGAAAACCATCAAAAAAATTTTCACATGATAAAATACACAGGTTTCTAGGCATTCCCCACAGTGAGAACAAAGGAGCGTATACTCAGGAGAGGATACAAAGGGGTAATACCTATGTGTCCATCTGATCATATGAAATAACATTTGTTAAAAAGAACTTAGGAGAATGGGAACAAGTTGGTTATTTTCTTTATTGCTGTTTTGGTGAGCATGGAGTCACAGAAAAGGTGGAACAAAGGGTGTTCAAATGCAGCAGTAGTACTCTCTAGACACTATGTTGGACATAAACTATAGACCTTGTGGGTGAGGAGAGGAGGGAAATATAGAGAGTGAAGTGGTGACATTGTTCACAAAGAAATATTCTCTTCATTTTACTTATATAACTATAAACTATCTGTACATCATCTTTATAATAGCAATAAACAGTACATCAACAGAGAAAAAAAGGAATGGAATAAGGCAGTCCACACAAATGAAAGGGAAAAGAAAGCAGAAGTATCCATAACTTATCACATTGAATAGACCTTAATCAAAGTAATTAAATGTGTCATGTTTGTAATGCAATGATGAAGCAATCAGATCAACAAGATGACATAACAATTGTAAATGAACTTAAATATATTATCAAAACACTTAATTTATGTAAGAAGACTTTGAGATAATCCTCAACACATTTCCATAACATGGAAATGAAATGAATACTTTTTCAATCAGAAATAAAGCCTTTAATTTAATTAAAAGTATTCAATGTAATTAAATGATCAATACATGATTATATGACTTATTTTTTAAGGCAAAGCACTAGAAGTTTACTAATAATTGGAACAAATCAATAATGAAAACAGAAATGAGAATCTACACATATAGAAAATGAAATGAAACTGTAAAAACCTTTGCTGAAATCAGAAGTAGTGTTCTGTACTAATGAACCTATGCTTCATCTCAAGGAACTAGAAAAACAAACCCAAAATTAGTAGAAGGAATAAAATAATCAAGTAGAAGAATATGCCAATAATCAAGTAGAAGAATATGCCAATAATGAATAAAACAAAAGAAGCTTCTACTAGAACAGGATTGTAAAACTGAAGTAAAAAATCATGAACCACAGAAGGGGAACTAACAAAATTTCACATATGAACACACACACCTCCCCTTATTCAGGATGTTAGAAGCAGTACAGAGAAAGGAGCTGCATTATTGAAGGTTCAGTACAGTCTATGTCAAAATTCCTATCATTTCCTTCTCAGAAATAGAACAAGGAAAACTGAATTTTATGAATAAGGAAATCCTCCATTAGCCAGAGCTATTTTAACACAAGAACAAAACAAAAGCATCTCCCTGCCTGTTCTTTATTTATACTGCACAGCCATAATAGCAGAAAACATTCTGATTAAAACAAACACATTGATCAAAGAAATAAAAGACTGAAAAGTATTTGCAAATAATAGACATCTGATTGTTGGAGAAGGTATCATATAATACAAGGCCTAATCATGACACTCTTAGCAAGGGTTGCTGTTGAGAAACCGGGAATTCATGTGTGCAACCTTAAATCTAGAACATATATTTTTCCCTCAACATTGTTTGGTTCTTAATAGAGACTTGAACATTGCAAATAATAGTGTAAATGAGGGGAAATATAAATACAAGTCAATAGCTCATAAAAGAATAGGAATAATTATTCTCTGGGTTGGAGTAAATGGAAGAATCAATTGTCTAATTGACAAGGCCATAACTTCCACTCCAAACACTGGAAATGGAAAGTTACTGTGCTTGCATCCAAATGAAACGTTTTAGCACAATGAATGCAATGGTGGAACAGGCAAATGAACAGTTAAAAGTCTTACAAGCATAAGTATTATAAGTCTTGGACATGCAGAAAAGGTCAAAAGCTATGTACATATGACCATACAAGATGATGTTAAGCAAAATGAACCTCAAGACAGGGAAGCAATTGTTTTTTTTCTTTCGTGTTATTATTTTTTAACATACTTATAATGTGGTTTTTTTCTTTGGAATGTTCCTCCCCCATTGTATCACACCCGTTTCACTGCATTTTATTCTGGTACCCTGCATCTTCGATATACACTTTTCTAATTCTGGGGTGAGGGGAGGGAAAAATGCTTAAATAGAGATACAGGTTGACCGATTGTAACAATGATATTTACAAGATACCATTTAGAAAACGAACTTTACAACTTGTTGGGGGGGAGGGAGGGAGGAGTTGGGGAGGTTTGGAGGGAAGAGGTGGTAGGGAAAAACAAAGGAAGAGATAACAATGCTCGATAAGAAATGTACTCATTACTTTATTCATATAAATGTAATCCCTCTGTACAGTATTTCTACAATAAAGAACATATATTATAAAAAGCCTTCCTAGCTAAACACCTCACAGAGGATGAACAGCTTCATGGAAAACAGTTCTAAAAATTAGATAGCAGAAGAGAAAAAATACAATCATGGAAAAGAAAATTAGAAATTAGAAATAGAAAATCACAACAAACACATGATATTCAATCATGTGGACAATAAGGACACCCACTGATTATTCATTATCACAGAGAAAAAATGCAGTTTTGGCAACATATAAAAATTTAAGTTTGGCAATTCTTCAATAAATTAAAACTATCTCTATTGGTGGTTTATAGCTGCAATCCTAGGTAAGCAAGAAAACAACAGATAAGGATCCTAAGTCAAAGCTAGCTGTCACAGAAAAGTACATGGCACATTTTATCTCTAATCAATCAACCAAAAGCTAGAAGTGGAGGTATCCCTCAAGTTGTAGAGTATCATCTTTGATATAAAAATGCACACAAATAAGCCAATAACCAGTGGCTTCTTCCTAGCTTCCTCAGAAAAGTGAAAATGATTAGTAGAAATTAGAGATATAGAAGAGACAAAATATGTGCCACGATATGAAAACAGGTATATGCAAGAGAGTGAATGTAATCAAAGTATGTGACATGCAGTGTGGAAATACAACCTGGACGAGATTCTTGGAACAAGCAACATATTTTATCAAAATTGGCAAGCAACAACTAACCTCAGTGCATGTAGACATTAGTCAAATCTCTTACCTAGATATGTCTAAGTGCAGTGTTCTATTTGTCTGCAAGAAAACCTTAATAAGTATTTCTATCTGTAGTCAATAGCATGAATAAAATTTTCTTAATCCAGACCAGACTTTCCTTTTTATCTGGAAGTAGCAATGAAACATCCATCAGCTGAAACCATGCTACTCAGCATGTCTATATTAGCACCTTAAAAAATACTTGAATACATTTTCAGAATTTAAGAAAATAAAAATCAGCTAAACATTGGTAGTGTGGAATATAAAGAATAAGCTAAGCCAGACAGTATTGCCTCATGCTTTCAGTCTTAACTACACATGAGGCTGAGACCTGAGATCATGTTTTCAAGACAACTTGCTCAAGGATATCTCTGAGACTGTAATGTCATTTTACTACAAAAAAGGTGCCAGAATTGGAGCTGTGTCTCAAGGGCTAGAGCACTAGCCTTCAGCAAAAATGTTCAGGTACAGCACCCAGGCTCTGAGTTCCCAGGATCAGCAAGAGAGGAATGAACATGTACATGACATAAAAAATAAGGACATATATCTTCTAAAGCACAGAAGAAAGTAATTCTTATCCTGTGATCTCTGCTCTCAATTGTGGGCAGCTGCCTCCCTCTATAGTTGTCATACTAGCACTTAAAAAGGAATGCCAGTAATAGAGACAATAACATTATCTTTTGCAATGGAAGTCAGATTATTTGCAAGGAGTTCTGTGGAGTCATTTTTCTTTTGTTTTCTCTTTCTTTTACTATAGCCAGTTGTTACTGAGACTGTGTTACATACAAAACTTCAAGACGATGCATGTGCACAAGTAAAGAACTCATCTTGGGCACATAAAATTCTCCTCCATGGAATGTTTCATAATGCTCAGCTGCCTGATAACACCTCAGTTGTGGAACATATCTGACAGGAAACAATGACACAAGGCTTGACTTGGAACAGTAAATGTTTGTGTACACTAAGAATGTGTGTGTGCGTGCACGCCATTCCTATATCACGTGCCTGGGCATTGTTCTTGAGCTTTATTGCTCAAGGCTTACACACTGTCTCTTGAACCACAGCTTCATTTCCAGCTTTTGGCTGGATAATTGGAGATAAAAGTCTCACAGATTTGCCTGCCTGAGCTGGTGTCAAACCTCTGTTCTTATAAATGAGCCCAATAATTAGTTAGGTTTACAGGCATGAGCCACCATAAGAAAATTTAACAAGGTTCGCAAAATATAGGTGTTACTAAAGAAATTTCTCAGGTTACTCGCCTAGAATGTAAGGAAATGTGTAATAAAGAACTCATGCCCGTCACTCAGGTTGATTGAAGTAACATCACTTCATTTTCCACAGTAAAAGTGAAATAGAAGAAACACAGCCATGCTGGAGTAAAGTGAAGAACTAACAGACCTGGAAAGGATAAGCTACATAGAAGGGAAAAGAGTCCTCTCCTGCTAGGAGGGAGAAAATCACGGAACAGGAGATGTAAGACAACGTAGTGATACTGAGCTCTTCTAGATGAAATAGATCTGGAAGTCACTGTACAGAGACAGAGATCATTGATGTGTACACCCAGAGTTCCCTCACTCATCAAACATCCTCAGAATAAAACAGTAAATGGGAATAAAAAATTGAATTACTTACACCTTGTTCTCTTCTTGCCTGGAAGCGTGGATATTACTGTGATCTTTTCCCAAAGTGTAGAGAGGGAAAAACCCAGTGATCATCACATCTCCATCCATGTGTGCTCGGTGTTTAATTGTAGAAAAGCAGCTAATGCCAGCCAAGGACTTGACAGGGAGGGGAAGATGGAGAATGGGGAGTGTGAAAGCCAAAGGGCACATTGCTGAAACATCTGCCTACCAGATTTGTGGCCCACAGTTTCAGTTATGTATATGCGTATATGTGTCTTTTTATTGGCAGAAATCTACACTATAGCTCACCTCTAATGATACCCTCTTGTGAGTCCTCAGAAGTAATGTGCAAGACTATTCCCAGGGCTCTGCATTTGCAGCCTTGTCTCAGGCAGAAAAACATGAGTTAGCAAATACGTTTGTAGGTTTGCCTTCTTCATCACAGGTGCTGTGATTTCATCTAAGACCAAAGATAGTGAAGCCCCAGAGATTGAGTTATCTTGGTTGGAGTTTGTCCAAACCTGTGTCTAGAAAGTATGTGCATGAAAGTCATTTGGGATGATGCAATTCTTGCATGAGATGATGCCCTGTCATGTGAATGTTGAAATTGCCAGAAAAAGTCTATGCATGTGAGTTGTCATCAGAAGTTATGAGGGCTTAGAGGGTTGATTCACCCACACCATATCCAGGAAAACATCCTCTCTTTGCAAATGATATCTCATAGTTTCAAAGCCATAAAGATGACAGCAGAAGGCTTTATACCAACACAAACTCACTAAAAAAGAAAGACACCCCTGTTCCCACCTGTTTGATACAGCCTCCAAACATGTCTAAGGGAAATTCAAACTAAGGCATTAAAGTCCTATATCGATCTAGAAAACTAGTATAAGTAGAACAATCAGAGAAGTGAAGAGACAGGAAGCCTTTCACATTTTTTATGAATGAGAACAAATATTGTTGAAATACTCAATTTACAAAGAAACTCGCCCATTGATTTCCCTTCAAAATTCCAATGTTATCCTTCACACGCAAAAAAAATCTCTTAAAATTTTTTGAAATATTTTTATTGTGAAAATACTGTACAGAGGGGTTACAATTACATGGGCAAGATAATGAGTACATTTCTTATCAAACATTGTGGCCTACTCCTTTGTTTATCCTTCCCATCCCTTTCCATCCTCCCCCCTCCCTCCCACTTAATTCTCCCCCCCACCAAAGTTGTAATTTTTTGGATTCACTCAATGAAAGAATAAAACCATAAGGAGAAAGCACAATTATGACAATATGGCAAACCTGATTTCAAACACAACCACTGAAACAAAGTCAAGATGTTGCCAATAGCATGTGGAAAACAGTAAATATTATAGATAATCCAGAACAATCCCACAGAGCTACAGTCAACTGATTGTTAACAACATGGCCAATTACATATAATGTACACAACATTGCTCTGTAACAAATTTTGTTTGTAAAACTGTATTGCCACTTGTTGAAAATTGGAAATAGTTCCCAGTCATTCCATTAAATTCCTCAACTTAAGAGATTTAAGCATGAAACTACCAGATAGATGCAAAAGAGAAACAATTGAAGCAACAGATAGAGTTAATTATTTTCTATTCCATACTGCAATAGTTCATAGAGCAGAGGAAACCTTGATATATACGGCCTGGTCTATGGCTCAGTTTTAGATCTTCAGCACATTAAAGTACTGAGTCAGCCATAAAGGCTCATGATTATAGTGTATGCTGCTCCCATGGCTGAGATAGAGATCACAGTTCACAGACAGCCTTTGCACACTTTTCATCAGACCCTCTTAAGCTGTAGCTTGGTGAAATGGTACAGCTTTGTATTAACCTATTTGTTTATGTGTGTGGGGGTGTGTGGGGGTATGGGGGTGTCTGCATTTATATCTGTGTATCTGTGTGAGTGTATGTGGGTGTGATTGTGCTTAGAAGGAAGGCTGAGATCAGGAAGATTGTGATTCCAAGCTATCCCAGGCTAGAAATTTCCTGACATTCTGGGTAAATTGAAGAAGCTGAATATTGAGGCATATTGCAGCCATTCCAGATGTGGCAGCAAATATCAATGGAAAGACTAGATCTCAAGCCTGGACATATAGCAAACAAGATACTATCACAAAAAATTGCAAAGATAGGATGGAGACATGGCTCATTCTCCAGTACTTGCCTATCATGGTCCTCAATAAAGCATTTACAAGTGGGTGTGTGTCAGAATGAAAGAATCTGCACAGACCACAAAGAAGCTAACGGATGTCACTCAGGCTCTGAGTTGAAGCCATAATACTGACACAAAAATGATGAACAAAAATGAATGGTGGGAAAGAAATACAGGTCATGTTTTGTGGTAGATGCAGAAGGTCAATGGAAATGTGTTTCCCTTTAACCAAGATATTTAATATGTATTAATGAATATGGGATAATAAAATTGTAATTATCATTTTAAAAAGGGATGGTGTAGAAGATGTTATTTGTTGTGTTTCTAAAAAAAAGTCCATTATATAAATATACACAAGGACACATCAAAATATTTTTAAAAGCTTGATTATTTATTTTTATTTTTAAATTAAAATTATCTTTTGATCATTGTACAATGGAGTTGCCTTTAAGCAGTTTATGAATACCATATACATCTTGATCAATGGCATTCCTTTCAACGTTTCATTCATCACTCCTTATCCATCTCTTCCATCTTTTCACTTTTTTGGATAGGTGTCTTTTATCAAACACTTGCTGGGCAACTGCTACCAACTCAGATAACACCTTTCCCTCAAAACCTTCTAACTTTTGAAACTTTCTTCTAATATCTGAGCCCCACTGGGTAACAGAGGCCATATTTAGGGCTCTTTGATTCTATGGGGCCTCAGGATCTAGATGTATAATTCCTATAGGCCTCCAAGAGACATTCTAGAAAAGCAGCAGAGGATTCACTGGGAGCTGAACAGGGTCACTCACCTTAGATAAAATAGTTGACTTCCTAGCTTCTGCCCATAGCCCTGCTAAAGAGTCTGGCAATAATTGGTAAGCATCTGCTTACCTTGATTGCTGTTGTAATCCCAGTTTGGGCAAGTCAGGGGAAAGACTTGGTCCAAACAGACTGGGTCATCTGTGGGTAAACCATCTGGTCCAAGGACCACCTTCAAGGCACTGTGCTGCATTCACTACCTTTCCTCCAAGGTGAAAAGCACCTGTAAAAGTTGCTGACAATCATCCCAGGTGGACTGGTGTGTAAAAAATTCTATCTCTAATAAAGAGATGAGCCGCTGGGATTTTTTTAGAGAAGGATAGATTATACTGTTTCCCATTACACAGACCACTAATTGTAAAGGGAACATACACTAGAGTGTACTTGTCCACCATCTCCTCATGCGCTTTTCTCAATGGTAATGAAGGGACTGTACCACCTTGTACTAACACAGTCTGGTACAAGGAAAAACTTCTGATATGGGAGGTACTTAACATTGGAAGTGCTGATGACAGAATGGGAAGGAGAGTACACTAGTCAGTCTTGGAAGTGCTGATGACAGAATGGGAAGGAGAGTACACTAGTCAGTCTTCCTCTAGGCGATCCTGTAACATTGGGGGAGAAGGTTTTTCAGTTATGGCAACTTTAGGCCATTGTTCTATCCTAGAAAAAAAGAGTAAGCAGAGGTATATACAAGACATGGATAGAGTTATTATCAAACACACACAGACAAATAGCCACAGTGTCTGTGGAGAGTGTGCATAGGTGAGGTACTTCACCTGGAGAATTTTGGGAAGTGGACTTCACAGAAGTAAAGCCTGTAAAGTATGCGTATCGGTATATGTTAGTACTAGTGGACACTTTTTCAGGCTGAACAGAGGCATCCCAACAAAACTGAAACCTCTCAGGTAACAGTAAAAAATTTACTCAGTGAAATAACTTCTCAATTTGGCTTACACTTAGCAGTGGAGTCCAACAGTGGCCTGAACTTCATGCCCAAGTTACTCAATTGTTGGCTAAGGCCCTAGGAATAAATTCAAACTTCCATTATATTTATAGACCTCAGAGTTAAGGGGTGGTGAAAAGAATGAATAAAACCTTAAAGGAAACTGTAACTAAATTAGTTATAGAAACTGGCCATAATTGGGTAAGCCTCCTTTTTGCTCCATTCGAGAAAGATACACCCCTCATGTTAGAGGATTCACTCCTTTTGAAATAATTTCTGGTAGACCATTCCCTTTGGTTCTTAAACTTGGGAGAGCTATATTTACAGAAATGTGTAACCACAATCTTGTAGAGTCCCTGCAGGCTTTGCAACATGTTCTTTTGCATGCCTCTCCTTTGATAGCAGAGGCCCACCAGCCTCTTGAGGAAAACTGTAGCCATTCTCTCTTGTCTGGACAGCTGGTGTGGGTAAAGGGCATCATGCTCCTAAATTAGAACCCAAGTGGCAAGGACTTTACTCAGTAGTGCTAACTACACCATCGGCTATTAATGTTACAGGAAAACAGTATTGGATGCATCAATCTCAAGTGAAACAGGCAGTGAAACAATATCCATAGAAGGCTGCAAGATGGACTGTTCAGAAACACTCAAATGATCCCTTAAGGATAAGTCTTACCAAGTGTTAAATATTGTTAACTAGTTTGTTTATATGGTTTACTCCTTATTATGTGTTAAATTTGCATTTTAAACCTGGTCAATGCAAGCGAGAAGGCAAAATTTAGGATTTGGTTCAGAAGGAATCACTGAGTTGATTGGACTTGAAAACCAGTGGGGAATGTAATAACCTGTGGGCCCCAATAATCAGTAGGGCCCAATAGTCAGTAGGGCCTGGTGGCACGGCCTGCTGGAGGGGTAGGCCATCAATAGGCAAGCTTCACCACTCCACAGACCAAGCCACCTTGACAGAGCAGGGCTTTCAGAGGCTGACATCGTCACCCTATGAGGTACTACGGGAGAGCTGCCATGCTGCTGAAAGGGAGCAGGGCACCGTGCGTTAAGAATGGGTGTGAAAGGGGTGGTCATGCTATTGGAGTGGTGGAGCATTGAGCCCCACATGGTGAGCTGAAGAAGTGATTGCAAAGTGGGCAGCTTGGGGGAGGAGCATGAATGGCAGTTAGAATACAGTTAAGGGAAGAACCGTTAGGAAAAGACCGTTAGTTAGTTGGTTAGTTTGTTAGTTAGTTAGTTAGTGCAGCGGGAAGAGAGTAGTAGGAGTGAAGGGAGAGACAGCAGGAGGGAAAAGCCCGCTGGAACAGAGCAGGGAAGGCCTGTGGAGGACAGGGCAAGCCTTCAGAGGTCCGGGTTTTTTTTTTGTTTTTCTTTTGTAAGTTCTTCCCGAATGGTACAAACCCTGTTGTCACTGTATTTGATTCTGGTGCCCTGCATCTTGTATGAACATTTTTTTCTAATTTGAATAGGGGAAGGGAAATAGCAAAATGCTGAAATAAGGATACAGGATGACCCATTGTAACAATGAAATATACAAGACAGCATGTTGAGAACAAACTTTACAACTTTGTGGGGTGGGGAGGAGTTGGGGAGCAGCAAGGAAAGTGATGGTAAGGGAAATATAAAGGAAGGTGTAAAAGCTCAATAGGAAATGAAAACTCATTACCTTGCTCATGTAATTGTAACCCCTCTATACAGTATCCTTACAATGAAATACATATTAAAAATTAAAAATCATGCCCTTAAAAAAAGAATATGCACACAGAATATTTTGCAATTCCTTTTTCTATTTTCAATTAAAATTTACATAGTAGAAAACCATAGTCAATTATATTGTCATGTTTTTATTGGAAATGCAAATGTTAGAAGAGGTTCGAAGTCAGCCTGAGCAGGAAAGTCAATGAGACTCTTCTTTCCAAGTAAAGAGCAAAAAGATAGGAATGGAAGTTCCACTGGTAAAGCAGTATTGAGTGACAAAGGCAATGGGCAGTTTAAGCCCTGAGTTGAAGCATGTATAAGTAAATTTAATGAATATCAGAAGAAACACGTTATGAACAGTAGAAGAGACAGGAAACATGTAAGTTTTGCCCATATGCCTTATATATGTAAACATGTGAAAATATTATAGAAGCTAGTACATGAATCTATTTGAAATAATAACTAATGCTTTCCTGATCAAATTAAGAGTTTGAAAAGTGACAGATAAAATGTTGATGAATCAACAGATTGTAAGAAAACAAAACATTATAAGAAATAATATTTTATATTTTAACATTCAAATTTTTATGTATCAAATTAATAAAGAGTGATTAATCAACAATACATTTAAAAAGTATGTCTAGGCATTGAGGAATAAACTATCATGCATTACACATTTTCATATTAAGAGAAAAGTCAAAAAATCTTCCATATTGTAATCTGAAATATAGCATATTTTGTAATGTATACTCTCATTCTTAAAGTTATATGAGGGAAATATGGCAAGAGAGAAAGAGTAGAACAAGAGGACATAGAGAAAGACAAAGACAAAGAGACAGACATAGAGATTAGAGGACTTTACAAAATTGTGGTGTGTAGAAAGGAAGTGAACATACTTAAAAATTTGGAAAAGTGATTGAAAGACAATAAGGAAGACACTAAGAAGAGGAAATGATAGAATTAAGCCTTGATTAAATTAGAAGAAAAAAATTTAAAAAGAATTCCAATTTAAATAGTGATCAACACCACTTGTGACTACAAATCCTACAAAACTACACAATAGGTACTAACATATTGAAATTTAAAAATCTATAATATTTATTACAAGAAGGGGAAATTACTGTGGATTTAACAATCAGAGCTTCTAAATAATAATCAAAAATGTGTTTAATCTTAATAATGCTTGTTTCTCCTACCATGTTTTTTATCCCTGAAACCATGCAGAGAATTTCTATTTGGCATTGCCAAGATGATGTAGCACTTTGGAGCAAAAATGCAGGCCAGGAGCCCTGCCCCAGAGGACAAGATGGAGAAGACCTCCACAGCCACCATGACCTTCCCTTTGGCACTGTGGTAGACAGGCAGGAAGGTGATCCACACACTGCAGAACACCAGCATGCTGAAGGTCAGGAACTTGGCTTCATTAAAGGTGTCAGGTAGGTTCCTGGCCAGAAAAGCCACAGTGAAGCTGGCCAGGGCCAGGAATCCCAGGTATCCCAGGACACAGTAGAAGGCGGTGAGAGAGCCCTTGTTGCACAGGATGATGATATGACCATGTTCAGAGTGTACATCTGTGTCAACGAAGGGAGGAGAGGCTTCCAGCCAGAGTCCACAGAGTGTTACTTGGATGAGGGTGCAGATGGGGATGATGAATTTAGGAGCACCTGATACAAGCAGCCACCTTATTTTTCTCCCTGGAGAAATGGCCTTGAAGGCCAGAACCACAGTCACTGTTTTGGCCAATACTGTGGAAACAGCCACAGTGAACACAACCCCAAATGTGATCTGCTGCAGGATGCATGTGACTGCGTTGGGTCGGCCAAGAAAGAGCAAAGAACAGAGGAAACAGAAGATGAGAGAGATGAGCAAGTTGTAGCTGAGAGCCCTGTTATTGGCCTTAACAATGGCAGTGTCTTTGTATTTCAAAAACATCCCAAGAACAACAACAGTGAGCATAGAGAAGCAAAAAGCTATGCAGGCCAGAGCCATGCCTAAGGGATCTCCAAAAGTCAGGAAAGTTGCAACTCTCAGGAGGCACTTAGTCCTATGTGTGTTGGCATACTGATGATCTTCACACCTTACACAATGCTCCATATCTGTTAAGAAGTGTACACTATGGTTAGTTATTGTTATGAATTTGGTTAGTTTTTGTTATGAATTTCTTTCCTTCACACAATTTAGGAAAATTTTCATTTACAGGTAATTCTAAAATTTCAGCATTTACTATCATAAAATTATTTGCAATAACTAGTATATGTCTAATAGAAGTAGAAAAGATCAAAAGCTATATACATATGACCATATAAGATTATGTAAAGTGAAATAAACCCCAAGACAGGGATACAAGTAGTTTATTCTTTCTTGCTATTGCTTTTAACATATTTATAATGTACTATGTAATTGTTTTTGTTACTTTTGTATGTTCCTGCCCAATGGTATAATCCTTTTTTTGCATTGTATTTGATTCTGGTGCTCTGCATCTTTTATATACACTTTTCTGTTTTGGAGAGGAAAAGGGGAAAAACAAAACACTTAAAAAGG